GACAGGAAATGAGGTGATGGTGTGAGATTGTCATCAAGACATTTAAGTCATGGGGGAGTTGGTTGTGAAAAGAAGAAGAAATTGCAGACGAGAGCGGAGGAACAGAGGCAGCTGGTAAAGAACGGAAGGGAGGTGCTGATGGAGCCAACCCGACCTCACATCGGGCCAGAGAGGCATGCGAATGGCAACTGAGAGTGAATTGGCGAAAAAAATAAAATAAAGTAAAACAACCACAGGTAGTTTCTACCCTGGGAACTAACGCAGGCAAGGAACAAATCGAAAGGCAGGATGGGCCAAGACAAGGCCTGCGCGGCGAGGTAAATGAAAGGAACTAACGTATCTTACCTTACCTACCTTGAGACAACACTTGGGGAATACCTACTTTACCTCAAGGTGTACGAAGTAGACGGCAACACGAAAAGGTGAGTTCCGGCCTGAGGTAAGGTAGCACGGCAAGAACAGAACTTGAAGGGAGATGCAGATGCAGGGTGCCTGCCAAAGTGCACCACAGTCCACTGCCATGTAGCAAAGATGGACGGGAGGGTACATGCCGAGATTCCCTTGCCTGCCTACCTGAAGGTACCTTACGTTGCCTTGCCTTGCGATGATTGATCATTCCTTCCCAAACATGAAATGGAAGATGGGTGCGTAAAGTAACCCAACGTCAAGTATCTGTAAGTTGAACAAGGAAGGTAAGGTAGGTAGGTAAGGTAAGGAAAGAAAAGCATCTGTAGGCAGGTTCGGATACCTCGTTGCACGAAATGTCATGGGGGGTGCAATTGGAAGGAAGGATGGGAGAATTGGAAAAGACGGAAAGATGGACGGACATTTGCACTTGCTTGACATCGACTTCAAAGGTACCTCTCCTCCCTGCCTTACTACGTACATCACATGCGTAGTGCCTTCCACCACACGCTCACGCAATACCTTGATCTATACTTGCCATTCTCACTCTTTCTCTCTTTCCCTCTCTCTTTCCCTCTCTCTTTCCCTCTCTCGTTCCCTCCGCCTTTTTTTGTTTTTCTTTCTTCCTGGTGTTCTTTTTCTCATTGCTCTCCCAGGCGTGGAGGCTTTTGCGAGTGCAAGTATGAATAAGTGGCCAGCCCATCAGGTGGACTTGCGCAACGCCGGGGGGGTGGGAAAGTGCACCATGCTCTTGCAGGTACCCGGCGAGAAAGAAGCAATATGTGAGGAAAAGAAGATCTGGGCTGGTCCGGGCTGAGCTAGGCCGTTATTGCGATGGCCAACCCCAACCTGACGTGGAAGGGAATAAAACACAATCGAAGAAGTGAAGGGGAAGAGAGAGAGAAAAAAAAAAACAGGATGCACTGCGCACCCCATCTCAGGCCGGTTGTGCCTCATCTCCCCTTGACCTGGCGACCCTCTGGCTTCCTGGGTACCCACACCGGGCATATCTTCTGCTCAAGGCAAGAGACATGGATGATGGTATCGAAAAAGAGGAAAAAGGACGAGAGCTGACAGAGCGATAGAAGATGCGTTCTGTACGACCAGTGGGGTTTGAATGGAACCGGAAAAACAATGTAGAAGAGAGGAGCCGATACAGTAGTGGTGGACCAGGGAAAGAAAAGATTGAGTACGTACGGGCTCCGTAGAGTAAGGTAATGTCCTCAGGGACTGGGAGGGGGGTTGCAATGGCTCTGATTGTCTCTCGAATGCGCTCCTTGGTGGGTAGCAAGTTGTGGCAAGCTGCGAGGGATGAGAACGACAAACGCAGCAACCCGTTGCAATGGAGGGAGGGACACGCACATTAGATTAGCACTTTGGATGCAACATGTAGCCGTCCAGAGAGCGCAAACTAGACAACGCGGAGCTAGAATGGGGAGGAAGCCAGCGGCTCTACAAGGGAGCTACTGATACGTGCTATGTGCCCATTGTAGGTGTTACGTACGTAACCGTGCATTGCTTGTGCTAAGAACAGTAAACTAGCAATTTGATCGCCCGCGATGCACGCTGTGGGGAGGGGCGTTCAAAAAACACTGCGAAATAAACATCAGGTTGGGTTGTGGCGCGACAGACCAGCCAGCTTCTCGCAGCACGCATGGCGCGATTTGGCTCTGCTGAAGTTGCGAAGGTGACGGAGCTTTGACGGACTCAAAGACACATCGTTTGCAATGTGTTGTCGAATGCATCGTTGTTAGCAACGATGCCACAGTCGTACGCTTCCATGCAGATTGTGAGTTACCATGATGGATAAGAGGAGGCAAGCCGCACAGCACGGGCACCAGATTGCAGCAGCAGGGTACGCGTGGTGAGGTCGACACCGGGCGAACATGGACCACCAAAGCTACCTCACTCGGCGTCGGGAAGGCACTTCAGCAATCCAATGCGGTGGGGAATGGGTGTGCGATCAGAGACATGATCGATCCCACCTCGATACGCAGTGGGAAAAACACGTTTTGTGGCGAGCGCCTCCGCTGCTTGTTGAAACATCCGCAGACGAGGCAGGCGCAGAGTGACAGAGCGGGCATCAAAATGCGACGGGGCTGGGTGCACGAACAATTGGAAGCTCTTACGGCCATCGTGTAGCACGGCATATTCGAATCCTCGGGACGATGACGGTTGGGTGGGTGATCGGGAGCACTAAGCTACGGCACAGAGCCTTGCTTAGTGTTGTCGCCCGTCTTCGCGCCTTGAACCGGGCCGTCAAGTCGAGTTGTGCGCTCCGGGGACGATGGTAGGTGGTGTCCGATACGATTCGTGTGCTCGTATTGCCCCGATGAGTGACCCGCGGCCCTTGACCAATCGATAGGATCAATGTTCGAAGGCCTGGTCACCCGAAGCTCATGTTTTCCTTTGCTCTGCGAGATTGATGAAGCGCCTCAACAAATCAATCGGCGCTGCTGCTAGCCGTTTTGCTCGTCCCACCTCGTTCGATCTCAAGGAATTGTAAGAACCGACGGCCATCTTGAGAGCAGACGGCGTATCGCAGGAGAGGTGCTAAGCTGCACGCCGGTAGGGTCTGAGTCGAGAATGCGAAAGGGGAAGGAGGGAAAAAAAAGCTGGCCACAGAGGCAGTCCCGAAGATGAGTCTGGAAGAGAGGGGGAGGGAGTTGGTGTGCTCAAAAGCCACGCAAGACAGTCGCCGGACTCTGGTTGACTGACTGGAACATTGTGCTTTACCGATAGGTAGACCGTGAGAGCGAAATGGAGGATGTGTGTCTAAGCTATCCATGTTTCAACGTGGAGTCGGTGGCATGGGTACCGTAGCTGGTGTCCAGCAGCAAAAGCAACAAAGAATATGCTCGGAATTAGCATCCACTGTGCTGTACAAAGCCGGGCAGAGATGGAAGGCAGGTGCCCTGAGGTCCCGGGTAGGTAGGTTTAGGTACGTACCCAGAACTGAAGTGCAGATGCGACGATGCGTCTGTGGGCACTAGGCGAGGCGTTTGTCCCACAGATGCATGCAACTGGAGACATGCAGACAACGAGCATGTAATGCGAAAAGAAAAGAAAAGAAAAGAAAAGAAAAATTCTCAAACAAACACAGCCGAGAGGAAGCGAGCGGTGGAGGGCTCCAAGTGAAAAAGGCATGCCCGGAAAACTTGAAGTACGAGATTGGGGGGACGGGAGGAAAAGGAAAAGACACCAGGCATATCAATATGATACTCTGCGTGCTTAGGTGAGGTACTGAGGTTGTTATATACCTCAGTGAGGGATCTGGAAGCCTTCGTGATGGCGAATCATTGATAAGGTAAGAGTAAGGTACTCGGTAAGGCAGGAAGGAACAGGCCCAGCACGAGGGGAAAGAGATGGTCGTCTGCAATATTGGGACTTTGCTGGATGCGCTTGCATCTACACCCATGTAAAATAAGGTAAGCAGCTAGCCGGGCGGTAGGCGAACGGGACAGGAGACCCGCAACCCCTGACGCTGATGGCTGGGACCACTTACAGTTCGTTCCGGTCGCACCTCCCGTTTTTTTCGATGAGCGAGGGACCCTTGCGCTCCCACCCCAGTCACTTCCATGTCGGGAATATCGATGTGGAATTTATGGGTCTTTGACTGGTACGTGCACGGCGCCCCATCCATTTCAGTTGGAAGGAACCTCCAAGGAAAGCAAGGTTGACGGCGGCACGGCGGGGAGGAGGAGGGGAGGACCTTGCCTTAGGTAAGGCATTCCCAACTTCCCGTTGGTTCTCCACACTTTCCCGGCTGAACGTCACCTCACCTCCTGGCCCTGCCCTCCTTCACCATCGTGACTCCTCCGAAACTGCCGGCAAAGACAATAAGACCCGGCCTGGAAAGATGCGAGCAACCTCGTCATGCGACCTCAAGTGCTGCAAGCTCAGGGTCAATTTTGCGCAACTCGCCGAGTTCCTTCCCTTTACCGCCCAACCCAATGTTTGTTTCTTTCATCCTTGAGAACTCTGGCCGCGGTGCGGAAACGAAAATGCAGCGAACCTCGAGAAGAATCTGTTCTTTGTTTTCGTTTTTCGTACCGTAATTTCAGTTCGGCATGTCGTCTACTTAGAAAGAGAAGGTGAGAGGGGGGTCTTCAAGGATTTCCTTCCTTCTTCACGTCTTCCTCACGCCCCCTCCCCCATCTCCCTCCGTCAATCAAGGCTTGTTCGAGGCCTGCCTTACCGACAACCATCTCAGACCTGCACACCCTTAGGATCCGAAATACTCCCTCAAGCCAACAGGGAAATACATCAAGTCCAGACCGGATTGCATCCGAGTTGCTTGCCCGACATGTCTTAGTCGACAACACCACACCACATTCCCCATCTCCCAGTTCCCATCCCGCCAGTCACTATCCTCCATCCCGCTGATCCATCATTCAACCTCCCGTCCTCCCCCAGATTGCCACCCGACTTTGAAACATTCCGATGTCCCATCGACCGCACGAACATGTCAGTTGGGCCTGGCGCGCGCGTATACACACAAAGATTCTCTGAATATGATGTGTATCTTTCTCATCTTGTCTTGGATTTTTTTTTAAACTTTTTTTGACAGCACTGGACCGGCCCGCGAACCAGAGATGCATATAAAATCTGATGAAAAGTGGGGTCTGCATTGGGCCGGTGAAGGATTTCTACGAATAGAACTGCGCCAACTCCACACCATTCGACCGGACACACGTCTGTTAGAACACCTGCAGGACCCTGTCCAACGATGCACATGGCGGATCGGCACAGCTCGAGCCATTCTCGACCAAGACGATGTGTTCGAGCTTTTCATATCAGAACGCAGTGAAACATCATGTGCGCCCATCCTCTGGTTGAACCATTAGCGAGAGGTGGGGGTCGACCTGGAACTTCCTAGTCTCCAAAGGCAAAATCCTGAACTCGATAAGCTCCGGGTCTTTCACTCCTCGACTTCAACCATATTTCGTCTCTGACGCCCATCGCGAACTCTTGGAGGTTCCGACCTATATGTCGCGGTGTAACATGGCACAAAATACGCCGACATTTGGCATTCGCCACAGTCGATCATGGGACATGCACAATGTCGGCACGGCGATGCGCTGAACGGAACCATTGGACGAGTACAAACACACAAAGTTACTATGGACAACAGAAACAACAAGCCTCGGCTGCTGATCATGTTTTGCCACCCATCGTCATCGTCGTCAACTTCGTTGAAACCTCCCCCTCTCTCTTTTCTTCCCCTGCCCACACGCAAACCTGCCATGATATCTCCCCTTGAGAGTAACAGTAGAGCAAGTGAGATGAAAGGAAAGAAAAAGGATGAGAAAGAGCCACCGGTATGCATTCTCCCTCCATTGCCGTCGCCATCGCTCCGTAGAATAAACAGACAGACCGAGGTGGACCTCTTCGATTCGAAGAGTCCCGGTCGAACGAGAAGAATAAGTAAGTATCAAACGGCCTGCTCGCGAATGACAAAAAAAAAAAAAAAACAAATCTGGAGAAAATGAAAGCATGAGATGAACACCGCCTTCAATGCCAAACCTTTAAAAGCCAATGACTTGTCTTTTGGGCCCTCCCGCTTTGCGCCTCTGCACGTCGCTTTAGTGTGTGCACCCCTCCCCAGTCCCGGTAAAAACAACCTGGAAGATCCAAACGGAAAGTATCGCCTTCCCCCTCATCTCCTAGCCTCCATCCCTCTCTCCACCTGCCCACCTACCCACCTCGATTAATATGCCCAGGTTTGGGGCTGCCAGTCTCGCTGGAAGAGCTGGCTGACGAAGAAGTATGGCTGCTCGTACTGGTTGGCTCGTTGAACCTCTTCCCATTCGCGTTCTAGTTTCAATCGCGTCAGTCTTCACTCCCAGCTTGTTGGTTGGCCTGTCACACTGTCGATCCAAGGGATGCGCATCTCTCTAGCACAGAACAGTCACACAGACACAAAGACACCACCCCCAAAACACTCCCGTATCGGTCACAAGGGGGAGGGGCTTGGTTTAGGAAACATGGGCTGCCACTGACTGTTTTGCATTGCCATTGCGCGCGTGTAGTGGATAAACTGCACCGCGTCGTCGTCCAGCTGGGCCAGCGTCCGCAAGTCCTGGTCTCTGCAATCCTCGGAGAATGGGTAGATTCCCTTGTTGCAGTAGTGGAAGTACGCGAGGAGAATCGTTCCTCCTGCTCGTCAGGCTTTCGTCAGCATGTCTTACTCAACAAAAAGCCAAACAGATTGGGCCACCGCTGAACATAAAGCAAGCGCCTCAGCCAGCTATTGTTCACTTACCCATGTGGTATTCCTGGACATCTGTCTGCCTTGCGAATTTTGTCTGCCAGGGCAAAATCATTTGTTAGCAACCTCATTGCCAAGCAACTCATGGCTGCTCCCCCATTGAGCTGAAGAGCCTGCTGGTCTCCCATCACAACTCACCTTCATACCATGCTTCCTGGCGTATGAAGCATCGTGATCCGTCACAAGAGCGATGTTGTGCAGCAACATAAACGTCACCAGGTAGGTGGTCAACCAAGTCTTCTGCTTATTCTGCAGCGTCATCTTTTGGAGCTTTTCCAGCATTTCTCGTCGAAGTCTCGTCTGTATATGCTGGATGAGGACCAAATCCAATTGAGCTCCCATCACCGGCGGAAGGGGGATGCGTCCGTGCTGCGGGCTGCTGCTGTCCAGAATATCGCGTGTCATTCCGAGCGTGTCGTCCCCAACAATTTCTATTGACTTCGTCGTCAAGCGGACCGCCATCCACAATTCCAGCGTCTGAAGCAGAAGGTCCTTCTCATCTTGAGCCGTTGAAGGATCCTGCGAGAGTTTCCAAGCTTTGAGGTAGGTCTCGAAGAGCAGTCGATCCCTGACACCCATCACACTCTCCACGACCGAGTTGAAGCATTCAACGACGCCTCTCTTGATATAATCTTCATACGCCGTCTGCGCGTCGTCCAGGTTCGTGATGGCATACGTGGGAATCGCCACAGACTTCTTTTCACCTTCTTCGGTAACCCAAGTCCGTTCCAGCTTGTCGCCCGGTTGTGGGACGAATTCTCGAACAGAGAGCTGAACCCACATACTGCTGGGCGTGTAACCCTCCCACAAGCGCACAATCCTCACTTCATTCGACGCCCAGTTATTGATGTTGTCTACAATGCCGTTGTTGAAACGCTGGGTCCACTCGAAACCAGGTGCTTGACCCTTTTTGAAGAAATGGCATTCCGTGATTTTGTGGCGTACACAGGGCTGGCGGATAAGTTGTTTGTGATGATTGTTGTTCGATCTTGGCTTGCAGCCTAAACACGGCCCTTTCGGATCATCTGGATCAGTCTTACACTAATATCGTTTGTCAGCAGTCGAATCCACCATTCTAAACCTCTCTGTGATGCTTACTCTCACTCGCTGCATCTTGCATCGAATGCAGGAACCGTTCTTCCTTGTTGCTGCTGTCTCCTCCCGAGCCTTTTGGTCCTTGAAAGGGCCACGCTTTGCGGCTGGTGGGCGCTGATTGGGGAAAACAACATCAAGACTAGCGTTGGCGTGAGTGTTGGCAATAGGCCCGTCCATGTCCTCAGTCTTGACACAGGACATGGGGTATGTTGAGTCCATAGCAAATCTGGCAGTCGTAACAGGCACAGTTGTGGGAGTTTGTAACGCTGGAGATATGACCATATCCATCATGTTGCCGCCGTAAGTAGGCGGCAGAGTCTCCCTCGAAGTCAGACGACGATCAAGGGTGTTTGCGTTCGAGTAACTGGGTTCACCACCAACATGACCACTGAGTGTTGTGGAATAGAAGGACGGAGCCGATACCCCAGTCACGTAGACACCGGTGTCAGGTCCGGAGTGTTGGGCCACCAATGTCTGATTAGGGTCCTCATGTACAGGTTGATAGCTGGACACATAGGAGCCCAGCAAATTGCCGTCTCCGGCCGGAAATGGATTTTGGGTGTTAGAGACAACTGGAGGAGGGACGTAGACATCTGGTTGAGAAACTTGCGCTGAAGGGGGTTTCTCAACCTCATAGGGTCTGTTACTGTTGGTTCCATAGTCATAAGTAGCAACCTCTGACCCAGGAAGGGGCTGATAACCTGGTTATTGGATCAGCAAGGGTTGAACGATTGTTTGATACGCCGCAATACATACCATCGTTGGTAACAGCACAGGTGCTCCAACAGTTTTGGCAGAACGCCAATGCCAGCGTCTGCATCCCCTGTGTTAATCCATTGACGACAGGACCTGGAAACCCTGAAGAACGATCTAATTCGACGTTGGCAGGGCCATGCTGCCCAATGTGTGGAGCCTTCTCTTCATAGTCCTCAGGAAGAGAGCCTCCTGCGTACTGAGAAGACATGGAGTAGCCTGATACAAGCCGTTGTCTCTTGTGAGCGTTTTCTATTTGCGAGGTGTTGGAAAGGATTTGGTGAAGCCGGAAACCAGGAATGTTGTATAGGTCCGCGACTTGGTTGATCAGGATTTGGGTCTCGGGGTGAAGGGTAGAGAAGTGTATATTGGCATATGGAGAAGGCGAAGAGCTGTGATGTCCCGGCACTATTGAAGAGTCGTCTTCGGGGCCGGGGACCCGGCGCTTTCTGAGATGATTGTGGTTCTAAGATGAAATCAATCCACCGCACGTTCAAAGTGCAATAGGGCAGAGGAAGGGATGGAATTGCCAGAGCAAACGGGAACAGCCAGGGCTAACAAAGATATAAGGGAACGATGTGTGTGAAATGATGCGGGTGCTGGGACAGCGGCTGGGCTCAAATGACATTGGGGAAGATCGGTGATATATCCCATGCACGCTGCCGCCAGCCGGGAAGCAGGGACATCTCTTACCATGATTGATGCAACGAGAGAGGGTGTGTTGGACAGAGCCTAGTAGCGAGGCCAAGTACCACAATCTGTGACCTGTATAAGGTATACGGCAGAGACAAGCAGCAAGCAGTAGGAGTGAGCAGGCACAGCGAAGCACAAGGGGAGCGTAGAAAATTGCGCCTCACCGGGAGGGGGTGGGGGAGGGAGTTACGGTCTCACGAGAGCCATTGCCACATAATGGCACCCCTTGTGCGCGAGTGGAGTACAGGAAAGAGGGTATGGTAGGGGAAAGGAAAGGAGGGTTGATGACTCGGCCAGGAACAAAAGGCGGAGGAAGAACTACTCGGCGTGGAATACAGAGGAGTGGAAATGGAGGTAGGGAGTCAGGCTAGAATGCCGTTGTGAAGAGAGACAGACAGGCCTGCTTGACAGCATACACTCGGCCGAAACTGGGGGGGGGATGAACCAAAGGAAAAGACGGCAAGTCTTGCTGCTGCGTGCGTGTGCGTGCTTGTGCTTGGAGGTATGCGTATGCCGCTCTGCTCTTTTTTTTTTCTTTCCCTCACTCTCTTTTTTCTCTGAGGGGGGTACTCCTGCTGCCGCTGTCTCTCTCTGTCGGTTTCTGCAGCCGTTGCTCCTCGGCCTTGACGGATGTCGCAGATACTGCTGGCCGTGGCCTAAGCCTAGTCGCCTAGATGTTTCGCCCGTCCGGCGCAAATTCGAGACGCTGTCGTTCTCGTTGTTTGCTTTGTGCGATGTCTCCTTCGGTGGAGCACAGCGTTGCGCGCGCTGGCAGGCTAGAATCAGAGAGCGTGCCGATAGAGACTCTGGTACTGGCGATTGGCGTATCCTGTGCTGGTCGGTCGGTCGGTCAGTTCGAAGGAGTCGAGGCTGGAGTGAGAAGACTCGGTGAGAGGAAAGTTGAGGAAGTGGGCTGCACCCGTGCTGAATTGTATTTCACCGGTCTGAGGGGTACTCATGAGAGGACAGGGGTTCTTGAGACCACGCCACGCGAGAAGAGGAGCCGAGCATCTTCCCGCCCCTGCCGAGTGGATGGATTTCAGGCTGCCCGTCTGATGGGAATAAGGCGACAGGGGTGGTGGAAAGAACACCATGGAACCGACTGTTGTGAGCGCTGCTGATCCTGTTTCTGGCCTTCACTTCCGCCTCTTTTTGTGTAACCAACAGGTGCCGTTTGCTTCGTCTGCATGGAAGGGCCAAACGCTAGGCCAATCAAGTGTCGAGACACTTCTGATGCTGGATCTGCTGATGCTTCTGACTGTTGCTCACGGCGAAGGTTGTTACGATTGCTAGCCAACGATTGCAAAGACCGCTACAACTTCACACACTGGTGATCGGTTGGTCTCGGGAGGCGGGAGATGCCCAAGGCTGTCCTGTCTCCTGTCTGGCCAAGAGATGTGGATTCGGATGCGTGTGCTTACGTGAAGCGCCATGAAAGATCCCATGCGGGCGACGACGTGATCTAGGACTGGGAGTCATCATATTTCCATCGCCCGGCTAGCAATGTGCGCCATGTTACCAAAAGGCCGAGGCAACCAACCACCATGCGTGCGGCCGCAACCCCCCAGATTTGGCTCCCTAATCGTCTCTTTTTCCGATATAACCTCTGTGCTTCTCGACGTTCCATTGTAATGCGCCACGGTCCCGAGAGTCTGACACCCTTTGCCTACTTACCCTCGTTTAGTTAGATCGCTCGAGCAGCCTGCAAGTCTAGGGATGCGTGTGTATGCTTAGGTTGGCTAAGAACAGCCTCGTGGTTTTCCCCCCCTCTGACAATGCGTATTCAACCCGATCCACAGATTGTCACCGCTTTTCCGGGAGTGAGAGTGCTTCCAGAAAGCTGACGAACATATGCTAGGCACACCCGACTTGCTGTGCCGCCTCTGGATATGGACGGGACAAAAGATGAAGAAGAATCCGTCCCACGAAAGGGGCAAGGAAAACATTTCTTGTGAAGAGCTTCGTTTTCGTTCTGGGTCGTCAACAGCCCAGTTGGTTCATCTAACAAAATTATTGGTCCGTGCAGAAACCTGTCAGTCGATCGATCAGTCGATTCAGCCTGTAGCTTGCACATGATTGAGTGAAATTAACATCTTCAGCTCTTGACGATGATGTAGCCGCTCTGCCCCAGTAACCGGGTGTACGTCCACCGCCGCCAACACCACCACCACGGTCTGGCCTGACTAGGCCTGGCCGTACTGTTGGGCCGCCCCTCGGAGCGCCGGTAAAGGAACCTGCCGGCTGTCAGAAAGTGAAGCATGCAGCAGAATACGCACTTTGGACAGCCCCATGTTTGCTCAAAAAGGCCTTGACCGCCTTTAACCACCCCGCAGCCCCTGGTCCTGGCGTGTTGCCCGAGAGGCGGATTGTTGTTGGAAAGGCGAAATTCCCATAAAATCCGCTCACGAGCAGCCAATGTTGGAGACTAATTACCATTACGAAACTGCAAGCATACCCGCAGTCGCAGAAAGTCGACGGCCGCACGGCGTCTTGGCCGCGAAAAGTCGATCCCCCCAGCAGCCGTAGGTCAAAAGGGTGCATTGCGTGCGGGCCCTGCGAATTGGTGTCCCGGCTGAGAGCAAACTTTTGACATTCATCTCGAGAAAATATGTCGGTCAACAAATTCGGCCATTTCACAGGTAAAAGCGCCTGTCGAAAGCAAAGCCCTGCATGCGCGGGCGTCACCAATGATGGCAGCCTCTGTCGATGCAGCTGATGAGGTCAGGGAACCACCCGCTAACGGTCTCGTATCAAATCAGCGTCTGACGTTCCTCTGCAGGCCGCCGTAACAGTCGAGTGAGGCGAAGTGAAGTAAGAGCGTTGCGAGATGGCCACACAGAGCGGATGTGTAAAAGTTGGATCCCTGAACCACGCCTCGGTGATTGTGAGATGCACAAAATCGGCCTGCCAACAGTGAACACGGTTGCAATTTGCTGCTTCAGAGCAGGCATTAACGACGAGGAACACCAAGTTCTGGTGGGACGCAGGAGACCGTGGAGAGTTTAAGCTCGAATGGGCAACCGGTGAGTCGGGAGCCTCGCTTGTGGATGGTCGCTCGACAGACCAGAGACTCGACCCGTGAAAGTGTGTGGATTCACCCCAGCAAGGCCAGGCGATAGCCAAGTGAGATTATGTGCCGTGGCATGCCCCCAAACCCACGAACCCCAGCGCTATTCCGTCCCGCCCATTTCCGTCGGAGGTTGCCAGCCATTGGTGTGTCTAGCTCTGCCTCGTGTTATGTTTCGATGCTCAACATTGTATCCATACTTTGGTCGGGTACCACAGTATCGATTCCCCAAGCTGCAGCCAGAGCGGTGATGATTCGTGAACAGGGTGTGTTGGCCGCTTACAGACTATGCTGCACATAATTAGCCCGGTGACGATTTGCGGATTGACGAATGATTACGGAGTACTACCGGACTAAAGAAATTTTGGCTGGAATCGTTTTTGCCGAGATCTCATTAGACTGCCTCGCAGGCTAAATAGAGCACTGCAATGGCCATAAAGTTCCAACGGGTCGCAGAACTAATCGGGGCGACGCTAAACAATGCGTAAGACCGGAAGAAGAGCATAATGATCCATTTCTCTGCCGATTCTTGAGATCTGCTGAGCACTCGGCACTGAACAAGACAGGTTGCAATGCGCTAGCATGCGATCGTGTCCGAACGGGCGGGGAGAGTTTTCGGGTACCTAGGCGGACATGGGGCCTACAGATTGTATTAGTGAATTCTGCGCGGACTTCTTTTTTGGTTGAGTCGGTTCAAACCTACCTTAGCTATCGGGTCCTTTTCAGCATCCCATAATAGTACATGAAGCGGCTGCGCATGCATGCTCCGGTGATTACGGAAGATGTCCCGTTGCTCTAGTCTCCGGCGGAACAAGGACAACCTTGCACATCGGTCAAGTCCAGGGGCCGAGCTGGTGGACGGGAGAGTCGGGTACCAGCATCGGCCCATGGAGTGGATGTATCCACCCGGTGAGGATGAACATCGTCAACTGCAACGTATGCCAACCGCAGATTTGTGCAGAGGAGCAGCAAAGCAGAGGCTGACTATGTTGGTCTTGGTCTAACGATTCGTGGCGTTCAGTCATTTGCTTGAGGACAGTTGGCAAGGAAATACCTTAGTGCAGTGTACTGCGGAACGACGAGCCTTGTCGGACCCCCAGCGAAGAGCGGCTTCTGGCCGAGATACAGCTCGGCGACCAAAGCGCCGTTGAAAGTGCTCCAGACCTTCGTCCACTTGACCAGTCCTAAATGAATTGTTGAGGGGTCTACTCCGTACAATGGATGACGTTTGCGAGGTCGGTCGAGACAATTCGACCTTGTCCTCATCGGATTTTGGCTGAGGTTCCCGGGGTTGAACGTAGTGGTGGGCCGGAGGGTACTCCGGAGGTTATGACAAAGTCGCATCGAGCATCGGCGGCAATGCAACCCACTTCGCGGTCAAGGTGACCCCCAAGTATGTGGATGGGACTGCCGGCGCGGGCCAGGTGGTCCAGAAGCTACCCCTCGCAGAGATGCGAACCAACGACGGTGGGAGAAGCAGACGAGTGGCGTGGTGGAATGGCAGCATGCAGCGAGAAAAGAGCACCTAGGGACGCAAGAATCGACAGTTGGAAGTGTTGAGGTTTGCCGTGACTGGGTGATGTGAGATGCGGGAGGCAGCTACCGATACAAAGGCGAGGAATGGAAGGGAGCTTCATCTCCGCTCACAGGTACGGCACCGATTTCGTCACGTGGAGTGCAGACCGGGTCGGGTGGTCCGAATGCAAAGTCAAAGCTTCATGTGCCGGGCGACACGTCCATGGTAGAGATTCTTCATCCGACCGGCCGAGAAGTACGGAGTGTCGGTGTGTGCTCAGGCCTTTTCTAACGTCGAAGCCGGGAGGCCGGTGTTGAGTTAAGGCTACATGAATCAACGACTCATTTCAGGAAAGCTCACGAGAGAATACCTTACGTTACCTTAGGTTTTTTGAGGAAAATGGAAGAGGTGCTTGCGCTTACAGTGCCACTTGCACCTGGAGGGACGTTGAGATGCCAAGTCGCGACGCTTTCGGACAAAGGGGTTGTATTTGCCTGAGGTAGCCCAGTAGGTCAAGCGAATACCTAGGTAGGCACCTTGAAACCTCAAAGTGCCTTGTCTAAGGTACCTTCCATGATGGAAGGTAAGAGGCGGTACCAACCTTCCAGGTTATGCTGCAGGAGGAAAGCAGGCAAGCAGGCGCTAGTGCGCCATCACCACTTTGAGCAAGTGGCAGGACAGCAAGAATAAGGTAATGTAGGTAACCACCTCAAGTCAGGTAAGGTAGGTAGGTAAGGTACTTCCTCCCTCATGTCACTTACATTCCACCCAAATGCAAGCACGTTTCTGAGTCGTGGAAGTAGCGGAGGCAAGGACCGTCCCGTCCCTTCCTACCTTAAGGTACCTTGCCTCACCTCACCTTACCTTACCTAACTTCACCTGTGGCCTAACCACCTTGGCTTCCTTACCTTCAATCGGGTGCCTTAGCTTCCATTCAATTGGGTTGTGTGCTTCCTCCGTATTGGCTAACCATACCTAACGAGCAAAGACCTCCATAAGGCGACTGCATTGTCAACTTTATTTGGACTGAACAAGTCTCAAGCAGCCAGAGCAGTGACACCGCAAGCGTCCTGCATTTGTTGATATATAACCAAGTTGCATCCTTCCGTCTGCTCAAACGACTAACAGACTGAGAGGCACGAGAAGGTACTTCATCCTCGACGCACCTACCTTCGGATCTCTCGCCTGTTTTATCCGTACATTTACCTCATGTAAGTACGAAGCGAGATGCCTGCACTTTCCACTTTCGCTAGACGGGCAGACAGCACGTTGAACAATACTTGGGTATAATACTTATTCTTGAGATCTGCACCGAGGCAAGTTGCATCAATAATTACCTAGGCCCTACCGCCATTTGCTTGTTTCCTGCATTCTGCAAGCTTCCCGTTCTGACCATGTTTACACTGACTCCGGAGACTCTTGCGGCTGCCAGCTTCCAACCTTCAGCTCGGCATATAGCCGTTCCCATCACCTTGTCGCTCACTCTAAAGCTGGTTGATTCGATCTGTTCTGTATGGATCGGATGCCCCTTCTCTGCCTGTTTGCTGTTTCTTACCATCTGTCCAGCTACGCAGTCAAGCCAATCCCGCATCCATATGTACCCCCGACGGGAGCAAAAGCCTTCCCCGCGAACGCGACCGAGACAACGCCGATCCAAGCTGCTGCACGCTGCCTTCATGTCTTACAAAAACGGCTGGCCGCGGCTTGACGTCGATGCAAGTAGCGACTCAGGAAAAGAAACAATAGCGTTGAGAGAGGCTGCCGGGCCGAGGCCATGTAGAAGAGAAAAAGAAACCACGGAGCGGCCTTTTGCCCCCCGATTTCCGTTGCCTGCCTTGCCAGCGTGTCTGCCTGCCCAGCTGAGCACCCTGCCACATACCGAAGGAGATAAATCCGCGGCACCTTCCAAGCTCACACACGCACGCATGCCTTACCGTCTGCTTGTTCGCCTTACACTACCTAAACTGGCGCTTCTTGCCTCTATCAAAAGTTCACACCTACGCAAGGCAGACAAGGCAGGAAGCTGCAACGGCGTTGGCCAAGCAGATCGACGGGAGTCCAACTAGTGCGGCTCGCGGACATGGAAGCTGCCTAGGGTGGGAACTGTCACTTCTCAGTGGGCGAAAACCCAAGTTGCAGATTTGCGAGGTGACATCGCCATTCACATCCACCACCTTCTACCGCCAGCATCGTATGGTTGGCATCTTCCTCGCACTTGTGCTCGACTCGTTTCTTGCCAATTAGCCCCGAGTCAACCAACACAGCTCTTCTCCTCATCTTGACCGTTCATCCTTCCTTTCGACCAATCAGGCGCCCTGCCTAAGGACCTGGCACATTTCCCCTTCCAACTGCAGCTACGCATGCAGGGCAACACACAAACACACAAATCGGAACCCAACATTGTCATGCAAATTCCCCACGCCAATACCCAAGCCCACGCTCACGATCACGTCCTGGATCACTAGAACTCATCAGTCCATGCGTACCTTGTCACCGGTATCGCCAAATTTCATGATTCGGCCTATTGCCTGGTGCAACGTCGTGCCGCCCCGCCATCGGTCAACACCTTGTTTGTCAGTCACCGTTGTGGTAACACAACTCTATAGTGTTTCTTGCTGCTGACTTTCTGCTTCTGCGGTGATATACGACTCAGGAAAGACCCAAATTTTGTCCATCTGTCATTTGACAGTTTCGTCCCCCCTCCAAAGCGCCACTTGTCGCCTTCTTCTGCGCTATCTTCCATCAACTTCCTTGATGCCGTGAAACACCTTCGCTATATGACGTTGAGCGCCATTGGCTAGTCTGATTTCAACATTGCCCAAGCCTGTCAACTACCGTCACAAGATGGATCTGGGATCGGACATTATACACGACATAATCCACCCCACAGCAGCCTTCACGGACGTCTCTCTGTCAGAAGTCGAGCATCATGATAGTAGCATCCCACATCGACTTCCGCCAGCCGATGACTGGGAGCACTCCCAGCTGAATCCCAAAAACCGCATTGACAGCCTCGACCCCCTGCCAAATCCTCTGTGGCGCATCGATGGCTGTACTGGACTCGGGACGCAATTCTACGTCCTTCCTACGTTTCTCTTTCCAACGCCGCCGCTGCGTCTCGATGCCTTTGTACCAGAGCAGTCAACTCAAACGCCCGAAATCCGGCAATTATTGGATTTGGATGTGGCGTTCCATACCAAAGATCGCGCCCGAGTTCAAAAGCTGAACATATCCAAGCACATCATTCGGGCTTTACAATTCTGGACAAAACGACTGCCTGACCCAGAAGGGCTCTTACGATCTGTGCCATTTGGCTCCCGCATCGTCTTCAAAGATATCTCTCTCGATGTCAGAGCCATAGAGATCAATATTGCACCCACGTACTACCTCGAACGTCAACTTCTCTCGGCATCCGCCCTCGCTGAGATGTGGGGACCCGAAGCCCAGATACCGCAATGTATCGACTTGTCCGAGGTTCATGTTGTCGAACAGATCCACGACAGTGTCTGCCTTGTTCAAATCAAAGGTCGCCTCTGGATTTTGAAGACACTGACAAGTTACACCAAGTACTTGTACCATGAGCTTAAGCTTCTGTTGTCAACAATACCACACCAGAACATCATGTCACGTCCCACACACCTCGTCACAAAGCGTTGCACTTTTGGTAGCAAAGTTGCTGTCATCGGCTTTACTCTTGAGTATCATCACTATGGTACTTTAAGAGACATTGTGCCTCTTTCACGAATCCACAACACGATTTCTCAAACAGAACAACTCAAATGGTCAATCCAGATTACGTCGGGTGTACTGCACCACCGTAGAACCTCTGGTACATTCTACCCTGACCTCCGCCTCGACAACATCGTCCTATCAAAGGACAGAGATGCAGTCATGGTTGACTTTGAACAGCGCGGGGTGTGGTGCGAATTTGCGTCCCCAGAGATCAATGCTGTCGAATACATCCGCATATTAGCTACCGATGACGATATACCCGAGGATACCAGAGATCACTATGCTGACATATTGAGGCGCTTGTGTCCTGATTTCGAGTCTCTGCAAGCAAGAGAGGAGTATACAAATCCAATCAACGGCTACAATATCTGCTGGGCATGTCTCAGCCCAAGGGAGCAGGAGGCATCGGAGGTGTACATGCTCGGGAGAGTATTATGGTGCATCTTTGAGGGAGCTAGCGCGCCTCAGCAAGCTGCTGTGTGGCAGTCCTATCGCTGGGAGACCGACGTCGACTTTCCTGCCTTTCTCAGGACGCCACCGATACTACGCTCGCTCATCGACCGTTGCACAAGTGGCCGTCGTGCCACCTTGGGTGACCAGATCGGTAGAGAGGGCAACAAAATTATTTTCAAAGGTCAGGAGAACAAGACTGAACCCAAGGACATCCGACAAGCTGCTGCGACGTGGTGGAAACGTGAGATAGCGTGGGCCGAGAGTTTCCTGGCCATGAGAGACCACTCAAAATCGAGCGGAGAATGGAGCGAGAACCACTTCGACAGACCTAGCTTACAGAGCGTATTAGATGAGCTAGAGAAGATTCGGGATGAGCTATAAACAGGAACAGACAACGGGCCAAAGATGGCTTTACAAGGGCTGAAACAGAACAGATGTATACACTTAGAAATGAACGACTCGGGGATAGATAATGGTATTTATTGTATAGCAGAACAAGAGAGGAGAAGCCTCAGAAATATGAGATGCCTAGACAAGCACCCAATCGACCAAAGTCACTGCCTAGAGACTTGGCGCGCTACATCCTCTAACAATCATGCAATCTAAATGAGAAACAAGATGTGTGGGAGTACAGGTAGTGTCAATGGGATATACATGAACATGATAAGTATAGATAAAGGGAGTGAGTGTCACAGACACAAGAGTGAAGAGAAATATGGTAAGAGACTTGTCCTCCCCAAGGTCCAGAGGAACGCTCTGTGCTTCCCTATCTTTCCATCTTCAACAAAAAAGGATGCAGTGTAGGAATATGGTCCCGTGGACGTGTTCGTGTACTTCCACGTCACCTCATCCTCTTGGATCCCCGATCATGGCTCTGACTCTGTCCGTGGCGTTTCGACCCCGCCCCAGGCGAACTTGCGATGGCTAAGCCGCTGCCTCCAGACCTCCTCAGCCGAGCAATGAGGGAGCGGAACTTTTCGACGTAGGTGGCCGGCGCACCGTTGACGCCCAGCTGGTCCAGGATGTCTTCGAGGCTGTGGAGGAATGGCGCCGCCGCGTCGGGCGGGAGGAGACTCAGTACCCCGAGGACGAAGTCTTCGTCGCGGTCCCCGACGAGGCGGAGGAAGAGGTTCTTGTCTCGACGGGCGATGGCGGCGGGCCTCGTCGTCGACGTCGGGGACACGAAGTCGCGGTTCCTCTCTACGACGGCGGCGAGGATGTGTACTAGGGTGCGGGCGGCGCTTGTTCGCTCCTGGGGTTCTAGGGGCCGATCGCGCTTAAATATTGAGGTGCGGACGAGGCCTATTACACCGCTGATGTGTCGTGCGGCCCAGGCTACGTCACGAGGGCCCTCTGCTGAGCCGCCTTCTGAGGAAGGGATGGTGGTGGAGGTGGTGGCGTAGGAGTCGAGTTCGCGCAGAACGCGGTCGACGCGCTGGGAGAGCTTGCGAAAGGGGTCGTTGACGGGGTCTGTAGAGCGCATCTGGGAGAGGAAGTAGTGGAAGAAGTCGTTGTTGGCGAGAAGCATGCGGAAGATTGTGCCCTCGAGGTCGCGGCGCTTGACTGGTTTCTTACCCGTGGAGGGCGGATTTGAGCAGAGGTCTGGGCGGTAGTCTTCAGGAGAGGACGAGGACATAACAGCTGAGAGCATCTCGCGTGCTTCATCGACGCGGTGAGGGTTCGGGTGCTGCCGTTGATTTTCGTCTTCTTCTGCCTCGCCCGAGTCGGTGTTTTCAGAGTCCTCTTCCGAGCCTGGGGTGACAACGTCACAGCGTAGGCCGTCAGCCAGGACGTCAAGGTGGAAGGCCGATATGTCTGAAAAGGGGTCGCCAATCTCCTCTGGGTAGCCGTCCGCGGTCATGGTCAGGGGGGACGCCGGGTCGTAATCGTAGAGCGTCTGCTTAACCAGCTGATCCAGTAGCCAGAGGAGGTGCTTGCAGGGCGGGCCGGCCGTTTGCTGCTGTTCCCGGCACGAGCACCGGGGCGTCGCGAAGGGGCTGTCGGGGGATCCTATACGGATGGAACGGGGCACGAGCTCCGTCATTTGAAAGGCGTAGACGTCGTCCCTGAGACGGCAGTACTGCAGCGAGAGGCGGGGGGGATCTTTGAAGGCCTCGCGAACGCGCAGGCGGGCGTCGTGGGAGAGCGTGTCGAGCTTGTAGACGAGCTTGGAGGGGGAGCGGATGATGGAGTGGTCGTCGTCGTCGACGAGAGACGAGTCCGAATCGGACTCTGGCTCGGAGCTGCTGGAGCCACCATCGTCGTCTATGTATCCGCCGCCGTCGTCCTCATCGTCGTAGTAATCTGAGGTGGTAATATCGCTGAGGGACTGCCGGTGCGCCCGGGCTCTGGTTGTGGGAGGCATCCTTCTTCCCAGAGAGAGCTCTCTGAATTTGGCTACGGGGGTGGGAGAGGATGATGAAGACATTTATGGTGTGCGAGGGAGCAGTAAAGTTCTATATGTTTCACAGAGCCTGCTGATGAAGAAGGGGTCTCCATGGTGAATCGGTTCACGGGTTACTTATAGGATCCAAAGGTCAGATGGCAGGGGGGAGATGGGAAGGGGGAAGGGAGAAAAGGGGGGGCGGAGTGAGGCCAACTGTGACAAGACCCCCAGAGACCCAATGCTAGTGCTAGTTGGCGAAGCTGGCGATGCTGGATGGGATGTTGGAGCAGGGGGGAGAAGCGGGAGGAGGCAGACGAAGACATGACCAAGACGAGTCCTGGGAGTACTCGCACACGAGTGGTGGGCGAGCAGGTCCCATGGAGATGGACGATATGACGCATAGCAGGAGGAGGGGTGCGGTAGAAAGGAGTAAGAGCAGAATCGAGGACGACTACTGGCCGGTTCGGGATCCCTCCTTTCCCACCCCTGGTCTTGCGAGAAGTTGATCAGATCACCTTCTAGAAACAATTCCATTTTCTATACTTTTTTCCTTTCCTGCATCTTCACCCGGCCCCTGATCCTGGGATCGCTGTTGCTGCTGGGAAGAAAAACCAGGCGGGATGGAGGTGGAGGGATGTAGGAGGTCGGCTCGCCCTGGCCGAGACCGAAGTCTGGATGCGTGCCGTGAGCTCAGCAACCATGCCGGGAAAGGCTGGATGGGTTTAGAAAAGATCGGGCTGGGGCGCAAAACAGTTGTCGCTGCGCAAAAGAGTTGGGACAAGGTTTTGGGTCGTGAAACTCCACATCAGGTGGTCGTAGAAGCTTGGGTGGAAGGGAAAGCAATGCAGAGTAAGGTCAGGGCCCAAAGAGAAACATCGGACTGCGCAGATCAAAGGTCTTTGCGCCGTGTGTGGCGTACCGGCGGCGCGCGCGTGGCATGGGGAGGAGCATTGATCTCTTCTTTTCCCATGTCCAGGGTCTGGGGGAAAAAGCTACGACGCATGAACAACGGGATAACTGACCGAGAAGGTCTCGTCTGGCGCGATTCATAGGACGAAGTACGGCAAAGTGGGGGGATGGAAGGAGGGACGACTCAACAAGGCACCGGGGGAAACATAGAATGCGCTGTAACGATGAGATGTTGGAGCAGAGATACGTTGATTTCTGTGCTATGGTTCGCCAGATTGCGATAAACCGTACTTTGACGATGACGATGGTAAGAAGAGAAGTCGAAGTTGAGAGAGGCAGTATCCTGGCTGCCGGGGTACTGGGTAAGGTACCCTGGCCCGGGTGAAGAGGTTAAAAATGGGGTCGCGTCTATCGCCCAAAGGCCGAACCGCACGGCCGACCGCCGAAGAGCCGTCGTCCACCGTCGCGGTGCCGTGGGCTCCTGGGCAGCCTTCCATTCCCGCCCAGAAATTCCCTTCCCAGGCTTGGGGTACATCCAGCCACGGCTCAAGCCACGAATGCGCTGCTGCCATTGGTCCAGAAAGGAGACCAGAATCCGAGTGCCCAATAAGAACCCAGGCATTCTCTGAACTGTCCAGTCACCGCTGCCTTTTGGGGCCTGGGGGCCGCGCAAACGGGCCGGTAGTAACCCCACCGTGGCTACGCCGAAAACGGGAATCACAGCCCCGAACGGGCCGGCCGCTTCTGCGACCGCGAATATGTTCGCGCCCCACTTTCTTCCCTTTTCTGACGTCCATCAGGCTCTGGGTTCCATGAGATATCCAACTTCACCAAATCACAGCCTTCCTCTGGCCGCATCACCGGCCGCATCCCTCCAACTGTCGCGGCCCTCCTCGACCCGGTCCATTTTGCTGTGCAGCGTGCTCCTACGACCGTCATAAACACCTCACAAGGCTTTCTTCGAAGCATAGGACCGCTGTTCCCTCTGTGGTTCCAAACTCCCGGGAATCGGTTGGAACGCCTTACAAGCCAGAAGGAAGGGGGTCCATGGCCGAGAGGCCTCACGATGGTCCTGGTCTACCCTACCCTAGGCAGTTGGGTATTCGGACTTGTTCGGTGCAACCTAGAGCCAACCAGACTGGATCAGCGACAGGATCATCACGGTATCTCATTCGTCTTCTTGTACGGCTCCCGATAAACAGCCAATCACTTTGATCGACGATGGCGTGAATAGATTGAGGCCTGTTGGACTTGACATCGGCCTCTGCGGCACTTCCTCAGCCGCAGAAGCCTTTGACGGACTGACCGGCAGTGCTTGACCATAGCCAAGCATCAACGGCTTCCCCATGGGTGCTTAGGCAGACGACAGGGGCAAAAGGGGCTTCGCAGGATCACTGGTAGAGGCATCTAGCGTCGTGATCTATTCATAGTCCGTGTGAGTGCTGTCGTGTCACTATGGAAGTCAAGAGTCATCCTTCAGACAGGCGCGACAGCCGCCTACGTGAACTTATCTCTCAGGACTCGGCAATCTTCCAAACTTCAGAGCAAAACAGGGCTTAGGATGTGACGTATCTCGACAAAGAAAGTGTACCAAGTCTAGACCGGGAATGCCTGGGCAAGAGCAGGGCGGTGTCCCTTTATGTCACATGACGCCAGGCTGACGATGGTGATCGATGGGTAAGTATGAAACTCGTAGTCACACAGTGATGATTGAACCAGCCTGGGAGGTATGCCTAGCGGAAGTGCAGAGAGATTGCAATATGGTTTGTATTGGGATCACAAAAAGCCGCGCAATCGTCTCTTGGGCGGAAAGTGGTGGGTTTAAGGTTACCGGCACAGGGAGGCCATCTGATATCTACTGCCGAGCGGAAGATGCCCTGAGCTTCGGTCACTTCGTAGCGCACACTTTGGCCTATCCCTTTCGGAACCACGTGCAGTTTCTGCTCATCAGTCAAGTAAAGCTTCCGCTTGCAGAACTCTGATTCATACCTGATTGATAACGACCTCACAATGACTCTGACATTTCAGAGTTTGATGCAACTGGCAACATTGATAGCAAATCATAGAGTCATGTTGTCTAATGTCCAAATCAGTTCCTGCAGCGGATGTCGTTACTAGTAAATGAGAGGTTCTGAAATTATTGTCTAAACTCTTCACAAAAGTACTGTGCCTCTTCTGAAACGAAAAGGTCTGTTCTCGATCAGGCGACCTCCTGTCTTCCCAACACCAATCCTTTACGAAAAGTGAGTCTCACGATGCGCAGCCTACTTGCGAGACTTGACCGACCACGTCTTCTCCTCAAATCGAACCACGCGACCTGAAGTGTGGCCGGACTCAAACACCTGCCTCCCAAGAACAACATCCATAATGACCCCAATCTGTAGCAAAGCCAAACAACACGTAAGAATGCCACACAGCTGCGTGACAACGGGCTTATATTCGGCGTGAACGGCATATACAGTAGGCATAGCCGCCAGAGACCAACCCGCAACGTAACAAAAGGGCAGTATCGGCAGCACAAAGACGCTCTTCCACCCGTTGAACCACTCGCGGTACCGGTACGTCATGGCGATGCCTAGGAACACGGCCGAGACGTTGCAGAATGCCCACCAGCAGGGGAACAAACTAAACAGCACGAGGGGTTGGTGGCCGTAGTAGAGGTATAGCCCGCCGTAGTTGAGCAGGCACTCCTCCAGTACGACGTCGAACAGACCCGCGAGGCCAAGAAACACCAGCAGCGTCTTATTGCTGACCCCGCGCATGAGCGCGCCAAAGATGGTGCATCCGAGCACGGCGCCAAAGGACCACCAGATGATGCCGACGTACAGATCGAACTCGCGGCCGAGAAAGGTGAACATGAGCTGGGACGGGTCGTGTGACTGCGACCAGTAGCAGTTTGCGAGGTAGTTGTCCACGGCCTCGGGCAGAACGCAGGTCGCGGCGCCGAGGGTCAGGGCCGTGGGCACGGTGGAGGACCAGCGCTTGCTTTCTGCGATGGAGATGAGGACGAAGATGAGGGAGAGGGCGAGGAGGATGGCTGATACGACGCGGACGTGTGATGCGTCTTGTGCGAAGGCGTCGTTTGGGGGGGCGATGGTTCGGAACGTCGAGTCGAATGAGACTTTGACTTGGGCGTTTTGGGCGAATGTGAGTGGCAGCATCGAGAGGAGTGAGGCTGCGATGAGGACCGGCCGGCTGAGAATCTGTTTCATGTTGGAGTTCTGTTGTTCAGGGAGTGAGGATGTAAGAAGATGTACAGAGTGGGTGAGGTTGGAAGAGTTAGGTAAGGTCGAATAGTCGAAGAGTGTCACACCTAGGATTTGGACTTCGGAAGCCTCGTTACAAGTGAAGATGTCTTTTATACATCTCCAGACGGCTGCGCTGTTCCGAGTTCGTAAGCTCGGGACCGAACGAACCCGTCCAGCGTGAGGCTGTGGTCGGAGATTTCCCACATGCAGGTATCCGACCATATCCGCAGAGCCCATTGCCATGTTGCCACAGAAGTTGAAGAAAAATATTGAGATGACGTATCAATAGGCCATCTCAGAGAAGCGGGACCCAGAAAGTTGCCGCGAGGTCTTGCGACATGCTTCCACGATACCAAAAGTGGTAGTTCGGAGCCGAGCTTGCGATGTGAACGATGGATTTGGCCCCGAATAGACTGCAATTCGCCTCTAAATACGATCCGCTGAGGATGCAGTTCATTGAATGAATCATTTCGAAAGCAATTCCAGCATCTCGATCTTAGGTCGTTCCTTCGTTATTCCTCATAAAAAGCCTGTGGTCAAATTACCCGGCCTGAAGGCGTATAGCCTCTTTATATAACACATTCCTGCTGCGTGGTATGAGCACGCCCAAACTCCATATACCCCAATCTATAGCCGGACTCTACGACGAAAAAGAAAGACAACGATTGTAATGAAATGGGTATAACACATCGCCTACATCACCTTGCCCCGGCGATCCCCCGGCTCTCCGTGCGCCCTCTTTTCTTCCCTGTCGCCAGCAGAGCATTCCGCCGGCGGTAGAACTTGATCGATTGAGTGGTTCGAGTGCGACATGATATCAATCGTTGTACGGACATTGATGACCGGCCGGTCGCGCGCCTGCGTCTCCTGGACGTGGCTCCTCTGACCGAGATCAGAAGACGGCCTCGACGCGTCGTACTCCTCGTACTCGTCCCGCCCGTCGTCCCGAACCGTCTTGTTCAGCTCGATATCGGACCCGGTGCCGGACAAGGCCCGGTCAATGTCATTGAATGTCCGTACGGTGGAATTCGAGTTTTCGGATTTGCCTCCCCTGGCGACGGCGCCGGACGTTTCTTTCGTTCCTGGGTGGCCGCTCGTATTGACCCAGCCCGCGCCAGACGGACGAGATTGTTTGCTCTTGTTGCTCCATCCAAAACCCCAGTTCTGGAAGAGAGGCCGAAGACTGGTGACCGAAGCCGCGATGATGCCTAGCGCCGGCTCCAGGACACTCCAGATGGCGACGTCGCTGTGGAGGGGAAAAGGTTAGCCAGGTGCTCCTGTCAAGTCAGACATTTGGGGACGTACATTGTTTCGTAGAGGAAGTCTGCCGAGATGGCGAGACGTCTCACATATGGTATACGTACTATAAGAGCAACGCCAGCACTAGATGTTTGTTAGAAACAGGATGCTCCGCCACGGTATTGAGGATATCTTGACTTACACCATGCCCATACTCAAGAGAACAGCAACAAGTGCCTTTGTACGCCGGTTCAAGTTGACGTTCCATAAGAGGGCAATCGGCAGCAAACCCATGCACCAATCTGATATCGCCGAGATGATGCTGTGTGCAATGGTCGCGTCCGGGACTATGTTGAAGTTAATACACGACCCCGGGTCTCCGTACAGCTGCCTCCAAAAGTAGGATGGAGGCATGCACTGGAAGGTCATGATGCAGAAGAAGGCGATGGAGATCATCCAGACGACGACGAGGTTGGCGTAGATGATCCAGCGGTGAACTTTGTTGAGAGCGAGACGGAGGAGGAGAAGACAGATCGAGGTTCGGATCGCCAGCGTGATCGGGGAGTATAAGACTTCGCAGATGTACCAGGCTCTGAGGGAGACGGCGGCTTGGTCGACCGTGAGTTCTGTGATGTGTTTTCCTGTGGCACCGTTGGTGATGCCGTGGAGGGCGATGCCACCGTATGCTGTGTAACCAAGCTGCGAGATGTTCATGTAAGTGGCAAGTAGGGAAAAATGAGAGGGTCGGAAACAGTACTAACCATGGCCCCGAAGATAAGCCAGTCATCGACGGCTAAGCTCTTGACGATGCATACTTTAACGTAGGCTCTTGCCAAGACAAAGAAGCCGGCCGCGAGCATAAAGGACAGCTGGACAGCAAAGAGCTGCATGCCTCTGTATTGGATATCATCGTGCGGAACTCGTGTTTCTAGTGAGCCGTCCATGTTGTAAGTCGAGATGGCGAAGTATGGCTCAGGCAAAACACCAGAGACATCGGGGCTCCCACTGACACGGAAACGCGGATGGCGAGATCTTATAAGCCCTCCCACTCTCAGCCTGGCGTATGTGGCCCAACTTGCGCCATCCCATATGTCAGAAAAGAATACTCAGTGGGGGGTAGGGAGCTCAGAGAGGAAAAAGAAAACACTCATACATGTACCGGTTCCCCACGAGGGGACCAGGTCTTGAGAGTGTATCTCTCTCAACTACTTTAGATTGAAACACCCCAGGCCCAAATCGTGTTCTTCTCCATCTAAAGATTGCATGTTCCAGAAAACCTTCTTTTACAACGAAATTTCGCTTCAGAAATCTTCCTCTTAAGGCCAAGTTCTCCGTGCCGATAATCCGTGGTTAACACCGCCATTGCGATAAAAACGACAGCTATACGAGATGCAAAGATGGAAAAGCAATACCTTCAATCGGGTCACTTGCTGGCTTAGCAGTACATCCTGCGCCATGATGGAGAGACAGGACGCAACTTGCAGCTGCCGCGAGGAAGCAGGGTTCAGGACAGCCACGCCCACGTCCAGGGTTTGACTGGGATTGACAAGTTCAGGGTCGCCCACCAGGCCTGCATATACGCACAGAGAAATTGCTAGTCGCCAGGCGCACGACAATTTTCTCTCCGGTAGTTCCGCGACTCCGTGTGGTTCTTGTTCATCTGCAAGACAGATGCTTTGGGAGAAAGCGAATCCACACTTGGAGAAAAGAA